CCCTCCCTTTGCCCGACAGTGCCCCTGATTTGGTGTCAGGCGAGCTGGATATCGTGCCTGAGGCATTTCCATCTAATACTCCAGACAATAGAGCTGATTAAAAATGGTCATCTCTGCATTTGCACAGTTGGTGAATTGCTCTTTCTTATCCTAGGTTATCCCTTTACCAGGTGTGCATTCTGGCTGTGAATACGCGTTCCTTACGCCACACCAGATTCTGCTAATATACTCATAAAGCCCTGGACTCCTTCCTGACGGTGAAGCCAGCATCCCCCACCCCTTCCATTGCACATTCTAATGCACCGCACAGATTTTCTCGCAAGTCTCTGTTCTTACCTAACCCGCCCCCCTTTCTTTCACCGCCTCAAGCTGCTCTCCTCAGGGTCTCTATTTTAAGACGTGCAAATTAAATACTTTAGAAAACAGGAGAAACAAAACCATTCTTTAGAATAAAACCCTGTGTCTTTGACGTACTCTACATTATTGTAGTTGTTCTGGAGTTTCATCCTTTTTCAGTTTGTCCCCCCGCACCCTCCTCCCCCCAGTTTTCATCCGATTCAGTGTTTCCCCTTATTAGTGCGAATGTTCTAGAGTTTGAATATGGACTAACGTAGGACTCTTTCAGAAGGGCTGTGCGAGGTGAGGGACGTTTGAAAACTTGAGTGATTTTCGTAGCTGTTCTTAGAAGTTTTGCTTAATGTGAAGGAGTCCATTTCCAAAAAGAAAGGACGTATGTCATTATGTTATCCTCACTTTTTGCCTTCCCCTGCTGATCCTGAGGCAGCCCAAATCCGACGACTTTTTTTTTTTAAGCATCAGGACGAAGGTCACAAATTTTCCTCTCACAAATTTACCAGAGTTAGCAATTTAGGTTAAGTTTGTAATGATAGATAATGTGACTCTAGTGAGATTAACCTGATCCCAGCAATTTTAAAAACGAAGAAATTGGTTCCATTCCTCTAAAGAACCTTGGCCTAATGCCATGCTGTTTCCCCGCTTAATTACATGAAAAGAAGGCATTTTTAATGTGTATTTTATAGGAGTCCTTGCTTAATGACTCTAAAAGTCAGGCAAATTTCAGTTACAAAGAGCTTTTGAACTATATTGTCAGGTGGTTGAATTCCAAATCCATGAGCTCATAATATTTTGTTCTCATCAGCTTTTACCAGTATTAGTCGAAAGAGTTAATTAAGTCAGCTGTTACTTATTAGGTCAAATTTAGGTAATAGAGTATCTATTAAGAACTGCTTAAATGGAGCTGATAGTGACTGACGCTTTTTCTTGAGGTTGACACTTCACACCGTGTTGCTTTTAACCTGATGTATCTTGTAGAGCTAGGGGGCACTGTGTAGTAGTGTCAGGGTTTGGCTCTCAGTGAGATCAACCACGCATTTGTAGCTGATGGCACAGGGCAGATCACGAAAGAGCACTCAGATACTGAATTGTGTGTGCAGGATATGTGTGTAAAATGATTTAAGGTAAAAGTGAAATTTCTAGTCCGCAGAACCCATCTTCCTTTGCTTTTCTGTAAGAAAGTGTTCTTAACATATAAAAAGAAATAGTGTGAATTTAAGGTGAGTGAGTATGAATGTTCGGGATAATTTGGTGTGATTGGAGATATCAAAGATGAGGAGGTAAGGGAAATACCAAGGAATTGAAGAAGAGAAAAGGTCCTGTGAATCTCAAGTCCTACAAAGTTGCTCTGTCTGTGAGCTTCGGTGGTAATTTGCATTAAAAATTGTTCAGCACAGATACAGTCATTTCTTGCTGTTTGTTAAGAGGATGTTTAAAGCTGTGTTTGTTATCTTCATTCACTGGATAAATCTTTGTATCTTTGATAAATACGAAAACCAACTCAAACACTGTAAATAAGATGGCTAGTGGAAACTTTAAAGTGTTACTTAACATTATTTGAGGTTCTCATTGCTGAACATACTACAGTAAATACTGTGAGAACAATTAATATGGCATAAAGACCAGTATCAGCAAAATATCATAATTATACTTACTGTTTAGAAAAGTTTCTTCAGTATAATATGCATTAGCATCAGTATATAAGTTTGTGTGTTTTAAAACTTAGAGGTCTTTTTTCCCAAGTTTGAACCCCAGGCAAATTTTACGGTTTAAACTTCTGTGTGATGAACAACTGGACTCTTATTTTTAATCAACTCTTCTCCTTCTCTTGTTCCGTATCACTCAAACGTGATGTATTTCCTACAGAGCTGGGAAAATCCAAGACTGTTTGCCTTGTAGGGGGAAAAAAATCAGTAGACAAAAGAGAGCTTCATTTTGTTCTATCAAGTAGCTTAACATTGTTTAAGAAGTGTAATTACATCCTCATCTGAAGCAGCGTTCTCATGTTAGCTCTCTATGTAAATTTTGCACACAAAAGGGAAGGCAGGTGGTGGCAGAATCCAGCTTCCTAACATAATACTTCATAAAAGCTTTGTCGTATTGGTTTGTGATTTATGAATTAGAGTAGCTAATTTTATAAAATTAGCATAATGGAAAAAGAATAATAGCATTTAGGCTGTTAAACTATTTTAGGCAGTAGTGGTTGCTAGTTTGCTATGCTGGGAGTGTCCTTGAGAAGTGTGTTTTATTAATACTGCACCAGCAAAGAACTTCCTTCTAACTAATCAGATGGCTAGTTTTACGTGGTTTTGTTTTGTTTTGTTTTTTTTCTGTTGAGTAAAATTTCAGAAAAGTCATTTGTGCCCTTCAACTTTTTGTTTTCTGACTATTAAAGAAATACATTCTTATTGTGGAAAGTATAAAGAAGAATATAGTGCACAAAAAAGTGCATGTGTAATTAATTCCTCCACCAGTAGGAATAAATCATTCTTGACATTATGACATATTTCCCTCTAGTCTTTTTTTTAATGCATTTTTTCCATAGATGAGATCACGTTAGATACACTTATATAAGTTGTATCTTCCCCCCATTTACCATTATAGCCTAAACATTTTGCTTATTAAATAGAACTGTATAAAGCATTTTTAATAGCTGCATAGTGTTCTACTTTGTAGATGAATCCTATTTCACTTAGCAATTTCCTTATTATTTAACATTATACAGTTTCAAGTTTTCACATATAATAAATAATTTGCAGTTTATAATTTTTGTGTATATAACTCTCTGCATTTTCAGTTTTCCTAGAGAGGAGGAATTGGAGGTAAGTTCCTAGAAGGGAAATTACCAAGTGAGAAGTTATTATTTGTACATTAAAGAATAATTCATTTTTATTATCAAATCTATTGTGCTTTATATTAAACATTTTTAAAAGTGTATAAATGAAAAGAATTACCTATAATATCACCACCCAGGGATAACCATCATTAGTTACTTTCTAGTTTCTTTTCTGTGACAGATAACTGAGTTTTCCTCAGTACCATACCTCTTTTATTTCTCGGCTAAAGAGCATGTAAATGAATGCTCCATAATCTTAAAGGTATTTGGCCTGTAGATACTGGGCTGCTTATACTTAAGAGAACCTGAAATGTAAAAATGACAGCAAGGGCATTCTTGGGGGAGAATATAGCTCAAGTGGTAGAGCACATGCTCAGCATGTACGAGGTCCTGGGTTCAATCCCCAGTACCTCCTCTAAGAGTAAATAAATCAATCTGATTACCTCCCCCACCAAAAAAAAAAAACCAAAAGTGAGGGGCATTCTGAAACTGCTTTTGTTCACTGAAGAGCTTTCTGTGTGCATTTTGGGACTTTTATATTTAGGCATAATTTGTAAACTAACTACCACCTTAAAATTGTAAGTACTTTTAAAATTTTCCGTATACTTAGAATTTCATTTTTAAGGCAAGGGTAGAAGCAAGAGAAGGGCATATTACACCCTGATTACAGTGTTTCTTGAAGAAGAGAACTTAATTTTTTAATATGTTTGAATTTTACATTTTGCTTTAAAATTTTAAGGCTACACTCAGTAGTCTTCATATTAACCTTGTCCTGTGAAATATCCCAGAGATGAAGAAGCAGCTGTACTGTGTGCACCAGGAGGAATTGTTACCATTTAACTTGATCACTAATATTTGTATCTAGGCCTATGTATGATCTTTAATTGTGTGTTGAAATAAAAATTATATTTGTCATGGAACATATAAGCTTTATTAGGAATTGTTCTCTAGTTTATTAGCACCCCAGATAAGTAATATTTGGCAGATTATTCTGCTAAATATTGTTCAAAATGATC